TTGCTTGCACTAGACTAACTCAAAAGGCTACACAACATCAGGCAAGCAGTCTGACCTGATTTACATATTTTGTGTACTGCAGTACACTTGTATAAAGAAAAGGAAAATCTACTGAGTTTAGAGATTAGCAGACAATTGCTTCACTATTCTCAACATTGTATACTTCATGTACACTAGTTAGTTAATATAAATTTGTTTAACATATACCTAAATGTCTTCCAGGATCAGATGGAGTTTTTTACAGAGATGATAGACTCAAATGGATGTGGATGTTCTGGCCAACCTATTATTCATTCCTTCTGAAACAGGAAAAAATCGTAAATAGTTCCTCAAGGTGTAGTTATATTTTTCTGAAAAAGGGAGGCACTATGAAAGAAACCTCAGAGCAGCAGAGAAAGAAATGGATGCAACAATGCACTGGAATTTAGAAGCTCGGATTTGATTTTTGACTTTGCTGCTTCCAAACTGTGAGTCTCCTGGCAGGTCATTTCACCTATCTGTTCCCCTTCCTACTCTTGTGTCTAATTTGTCAAATGAAAGTGGTAGCAGCTTAGGCCAGAGGCTGCTTGTAGGATCTAATGCTCTTAATGTCTGGTTCTGTTAAAGGGTTGAGGTTACTAATACTCCTCTAGTAAAAAGAGGCATTAAAAAAAACCCAAACAAACCACTTGATAGGAGATAGTAGGAATTAGATAACTAGATGCACTCTTATAGAAAAACAACACTCAGAAGCAGAATCTCAAAATCATGAAGAAAATATCCTGATTATTTTAATGTTGTGAAAGAACAGGAGTAAGGAATAGGAACAAAGAAATAGAGTATAACTGTCCTCCTACAGAGAAAGCAACAGAACAAGCTGGCCCTTTCTTTGACTTCTACAAACTTCTGTTGAGTTCTCAAGAAACTGAAAGTGGAGCTGAGGTGGGAACAATAACTTCCTAGAAGTGTGCTTCTTGAAGAATGGCTGTACTGCACTGATCCTGTGGCTCTGTTCCTACTCTGCAGTGAATATTCTGCAGCTTTAGTTCAGCTGAAATGCCTCCTCCCTTCGCTGCTTCCACATAAATTGCTATTAATGTTACCATGTTATACAAGTGCATTGGGGAGGAAAATAGGCCCACTAATGCATTGTCCTGCTCCAGTGTTTTTTAACCTGGAGGATGCCACGTTATTCCATGGACTATGGGTGGGCATAGGCCACAGGAAAAAAGCAACAGAGGTGGGACATGCTCCATAAGGCTGCATCTGCCTCACCCTTTCTTCCCCATGCTTCTCTCCGGGCTGTGTGCAAAGCTTAACGCAGATAAAGCATATGCTCCCAGAGTTGCCTTATGGCCTTCCTTCCCTGCTCACATGACAACCGTCACTTGTAGTCAGCCATGGTAGCAGCTCAAAGGGATCCAGGGCCTGCAGGCTCAGGCTGCAGCTGGCTAGTCCGAGCTTCCTTTTTATTATATGAATAAATTTACAATGGCCACGGAACACACGTCTACCCCAGCCCAGAGGAGCTACCAGTGGACAGGTCAGTTCCACAGGCAGCAGGTGGATTCTGTCCTGGGCAGGAGAAAAGAAGATGGTAATTAAGGATCCAACTCAGTCCCCTCCCCAACACTACTGAGCTCCATGGCAGGCCCCAAAAGAGGGGAGTTAAAAATATATAAATATATATATATATAGTATAAATTACTATTATTTACATCAATGCTACTATTTTTTCCTGTTATTCTTAAATAAGAACAAAGTGAATGGAAATATTTTTCTCTCTTGACAGACCACAGACACATCTTTTATGTTGTGCCATGGATTAATTAGGAGGGGACATGCAGTTGGGAGGGAGATTCTCTGCCGCCAGTTGAGTGTAAAGCAGGCAAACCCAGATGAACTCACACAAATTCCATGGACGTGCAACTTGAAAGCCCCAAATCCCACTGAGCATGCAACAGAGCAAATGCTTTATCTGAGCTGAACTGCACCGACTTTAGTGCAGGCTGGCTGTGCACAGCAGCCCGTGTGAGCCTGCCACAAGGTAGGGTCAGGGCATCACTCTCAAAAAAGAATGCCAGTTACACACAAGTGACAGAAAGGTCCCATCTGATGACAAAAGTTTTTGCAGAAAAATTTAGACATGCAACTTGTGTGGAGTTCTAAAATACTAACGAGCAAGCAACTTAAAAAAATTCAGCACTTCCTGTCTTGCTGTCCCTTGAAAAATTCCTCACAGACACTTGCTAACACCTCAAAACTCTTGATAACAGTGGCTGATGAAAGCCAGAAATATCTCCAAGTGGGCATAAAAAGAGATTAATTTGCTTGAAATCATATACAGAAAAATGGAAACCCAGAAATATTTACTATCCTCTCCCCTTCATGACGTCAAGTGCTTGCAAAAGGTCCTGTATTGACAACCCAAGAAAATACAGTTCTCTCTTTCACTATGGACAGAATAAATCAAAGGCAGTGGAAATGCAAACATTCTGTTTTCTGAACATACTAGCATACCTCAGCTTACTCATCTCTCTGAGAGGGTGAAAAAATCCTTGTGCTTCTAAGGACCTAATAGGTGGCCAGCCTTGCAACTAACTCACAAGCCATTTGTAACTGCATGAAGCAGACACAAAACACAATTGTTCTACTTAGGAGCACTGTATATCCATTTTGTACAGCTGTAAAAAACTACATTACATGCAAGGTGCCCTTATCTTGGCCTCTTTTCTGAAAGGGCCAGCAAAGGTATTAAGTGTAATAGAGAGAACTGTTAACAACAAAATAAAACAACCTTTAAAATGAGGTTCATGTATACTGTCAAGTGCCTACATCACTTATATTGCTCAGTAATTACCTGCTTTGATAGGACTTTAGCAATGAAGAGGTATGACAGGCTCCATGGTGTGGTGTTATTAATATGGGTAAAAGAATCCAGGACACAAGGCACTAATAGTACTAATACTGACATGTAAGAAAATATACCATGGAAGTTTTAACTGTCTGGATTAGGCCTCTTACTCTTACCAGCAACTGTTTATGCATACTGAAAAGATGCTGCTTACCCACTACTGCAAAGCACTTCACAATCTAGAAATGATAGGAGGAAGCTCTGCCGAAAAATTAGGCCAACCTTTTTATATGTTACTAATGAAATGTGTGTGCCTTCACTTGCCAGTGTCCCAGCCTCTGACACCTGACGTGCACCTGACTTCCAGTGGATAGATGGTCAGCTCTGCCTTCTTGCCAATGAAAAGAAATACTGAAGTATAATGCATTAATTACAATAATATGTTTATGCTGTTCTTTTAACAGGCACTGACAAACCCACCCCTGCTTACAACAAACAAGAGGGTGGGGCATTTACAATACTTTTGTCACATCTTAAGAAAAAATGTGCATGCTAATTTTAAAATGCTTTCTCAGAAACATGGATACAATTTAGTTTTTTAATATGAGCTTGTACTTTACTGCACTGCATTATTCAGACATAAGAAATATTATTTCACGGTTATTTAACATAATTCTGCCATACTGAGAAAAGGGGTTGGGGGAATGACAGAAGAGTAGACAAGCCATGGAAAGATGCTGAAATTAACCATATTACATTGGAAAAAAGCTCAGGACTGAGAACATATGGAATAAACTCTGCAACATCCTTGGATGTGTAAAGCCATAATGAAACACAAACATTGCTCTCCTACTGGAAAGAAAAAATGCTACATTTCCATTGTTATTATAACTATTATTTCTTAATTTATTATTACATAAGCTATTATTTCTTAATTTATTATTAAACAAACTTAACTATTATTTTCTTATTAGAATTTTTTTTTAATATGACAACTTTTGACTGGAAGTCAGCATCCCGTCTAGAGACAGAGCCGCACAAAAAATTAGTTATTCCTAACTAAGAATAAATGCCACGTGTCTTCTGCATAAAAACCATGAGGGTCTCATGTTGCATATATTCAAGCTCTCACGAACATTAATACACAGGGGCAGAGTACGCAGTATGCTTACACACTGTGTTTGATTCCTGTAGTGGTAGGGAGCTTCCCCCAAAAAGTTAGACTACACTTCCAACACCCATCAGCACAATCGCCATGCAGCCACACAAAAGCTGCTGGCCTCACACTGTCGCTTTGTGCATATCAGCCCGTCAGCCACAGAAATTCTCCAATGAATTTCACATCCATGTGTTTGGTACGGCCCGCGAGGTGCAGGGCAGAGGACCGGGCAGGACACGGAGCGTGGCGCGGAACCCCAGCGTTATACTCGGCTAGTTCTGCCAACAGAGCGGTCTCTATGGGAAGCCGATGTGAAGGCGGCCGTGCTGTCGATGCTGGCCCGGTGAGGGCCTCACCGCCACGCCTGGGCGAGGATTCCTACGGCAGGGGGCACCGCCCGGAGCTCCGGCGTATCCCCGCGCGGCCCCGCTGCCTGAATGCCCCTCGCGGGTCAGGGGGCAGCGCCGGCCCGGCCCGTCCGCCCGCGGGCCGCGGCTGCCCGTGTTTACTGCCCCAGCAGGGGCTGCGAGGATGCGCTGCTGCCTCCCGCAACTTCTGGCTCGCCATGCCATGGCCTCTGAATGAAACTCGCCCAACTCGGCCGAGTAAGTTATCGGAAGGCTGCTCGGGGTGCGGCGGGCCGGGCCGAGCCCGCACCCCGCTACCTCACGGCGCTGCCCAGGGCAGACGTAGTTTACTCTCGCGGCGCTGCCCGAGCGGCCAATGGACAGTGGCTGCCGGCGCTGTGGCCGGCACGGCTCCGCGCTGCCCTGGGCGGCCCCCGCTCCCTGCCCCGCTCCGGCACCGCCGCCGAGGGCTCCGCGAACCCTGCGAGGGGCAGCGCGACGATCTTTGTGTGAGTGTGTGCGGGGAGTGTGTGCGCCGGCGGCTCCCTCGCGGGCCGCGGGTGTAACGGCAACGCTGAGTGGCCGGCGGGCCCGTCGCTCAGCGCGCCGGCCAATGGCGGGGCGTCTTATATCGCGGGGAGTGTTGTGGCGCTCCCCGGGTTGCATGGCTCTGTGTGGAGCCGCGTTCCGCGGGCGCCGAGGTGGAGGGGCTGCGCTGCGAGCCGCGTCCGGCCCAGCGGCGCGGTGCGTACCCCGCCGAGGTGAGTGCCCCCGCCCGCAGACCCGCACCGGGCGGGCGGAGATGGGCAGCGGCAGGGAGGAAGAGATAGGGAGAGGGGTGCCCTCGCCCCACGCCTTACGCTCCGCGCCCCAGCGGTGGAGCAGCCCCCCGCGCCCCTCCTGCGGCGCTGGCGGACGGGAGGGAGGCGCGGAGCTTCCCCTGCCCGGCGCGGCTGCTGCTGCGGCTCCCAACCACTTTTCCTCCCTCTTGCCAGCCCTGCCTTCGTTTTGAAAGTTTGGGCAGCGGAGGACGGGTGGGTTGGTGCCGCCAGCCCTCCGCCCGGCCGGCAGGGTAGGGGTGACCGGAGGTATATGACGGGGAGGGGGCCAAGTGGATCGCGGTACAGCGCAGGGCATTTAAAACACCAGCGAGCCGAGCCCGAGAGGCGGCGGGGGTAGGCCAGCCAGTGCCAGACTGCGTTTGAAACCAGGCACCTCTCGCCGCCACAGAGAGAGGCAAGAACAGCGGCGGAGAGAGGAAGGGGAAGGAGGGCGAGGAGGAGGAGGGATGGCCACCGGCCGCCGCTCGGTGCGTGCCTCCGGGGGGACTTGACAGGGAAATCGCGGCAGACAGAAACGAAACTTCATCCCGCGGGGCGGCGAGGCGCGGGGGAGAGTGCGCGGATCGGTATCGGCTGCCGCCGGCCTGGGGGGCTCCGCGCCGCCGGGAGAAAGGGCGGGGGGGATATAAAACCGAAGAGGGGGAAGCAGCCGATCCAGCGGCCGCACGGGGAGCGGGAGGAAAAACCCCGGCGCCGACCCCGACAACAACAGCGGCGGCCGGGCTCGGCCGGAGAGTTGGGCTGTGCGTTTTCCGGTAGTCATCGGCGATGCACCCGGGGCGGCGGCGGCCCCGGTGGGCAGCGGGGGGGCGGGGGGCGGGGAAGGACCGTGCCCGGGTCTCCCCCGCTCGCCGCCAGCCGAGCCGGGGGGCCGCGGGGCTTTAACCGTGTGCGGGGCGGATTCGCCACTTTTTCCGGGGGAGGCCCGCGGTTAAAAGTTTTCTGCGGAGGTGAGTGTGTGCGGGGAGGCCGGGGCGCCGCCAGGCCGGCGGTGGTCACTCGGGCCTGGGGCGCCGAAACCATTGCCCGTCCTGCTCGTGACACGTCCAAGTCCCGCAGCCCGGCGGGGCGGCGGAGGGGCCCGGCTTGGCCGCCGGGGCACGGACGGGGTGCCGGTCTCCATGTGGGCTCTCCCGGCGGCGGCACCTCCTCCCCGGTGGCAGCGGCGGCGGCAGCAGCGGGATCATCGCCCGGGCCCGCGGGGAGGAGGAGGGGAGCAGCAGGGAGGTGTTTGCTGCCAGCCTGCCTCGCCGGAGCCCGCCGGGGAGGGCAGCTGGGAGGACCAGGGAGCCCCCCGCGCCGCCGCCCCTTCCCTGCGCGCTCGTCCGCCCCCAAAGGTGTTGTGCAGACTTTTCCCCCGGGAGGGTGAGATTTATGCGCTGCATTATTGCTCCTCTCCTCCCCCCTCAAAGCAAGATGGACTCTCTCGTCTCTCTCTCACTCACTCTCTCCCTCTCTCTCGTTTTCTCCCCCTCTCCCTGTGTCTTGTCAGCCTTCAAGATCGACATTTTGTAACTAGGATGCAAACTTGATGGTGACCGGGGGCGGGGGGCGAGGAGGGGAGACGGGAAAACCCTGGGTCACGGCGGTCTTACTCCATATTTAATACCTTTTCTTTCCACCCCACCCCGGAGCCCGGATTCCGGTGGCCCTACACTTTGCACGGGCGAGGGTGGGCGGAGGGCGGGCGGCGGCTGCGAGCGCCGCTCCCCCCGCGGCGGCCGGGGGTCGCTCCCCGCGGGCTGCGGTGGCGGAGGGGCGGCTGGGCGGCCGCAGCGCTCCGGGCGGCTCCGGCTGGGTTCTGCCGGGGGGCAGCGGGCATTACCTGAAACGGTGCTCCAGCCTTGCTGCCTTCGTCCGTCGCTCCCTCTGTCTGTCTCTTTCCCGGAGTGGATCTCGTACCTGCGGTCTGGCGGCTTATTCTTGTTGTTAATTTTTGCGTTGTTTGGCTTATCCACGCGCGGCGATTGATCGCTCACTTGTGTAAGTTCCCGGGGGTTATTGTTATGTATGCCTCCTTGCAGGTGGTGATCAACTTTCTGTCTTCTATTTTGATAATACATGCAAGTACTACTGTGTATGTGTGTAAATAATTACGTGATGCATCTCTGTGTGTATGTATGTGTGTCTGTGCGCGCTCATAAACATGCATCCGTATGAGAGAGAGAGAGAGACAGAGGAAGAACAACCCACCCTGCTGATGCACACTCAGATGATTTGCTCCATTTGCCCACTCCTAATGCCCTCTGAAGACACGGTGCATCTTTTGTTCGCTCCTTACGGTTTCCTGTGACTGTCATCTTGTTTTAATGACAGCTTAACTGGGATGGGGGTGAGGAGGAAGCAAGTTTCAAGTTTTGGGATCTCTCTTCTTGTTGGCAATGTGGTGAGTTGCAATATTGTAAAATCATGGTATGCTGATGATGTGCCTTTATTTGATACTTTATAGGTCATTATCACATGACAAAGGTTTTGAGACAGCTTCATCTTCGTCTGTCTGTAATTTCCATTTGCCTTTCTGGGTAAGTATGTGAACTGTACACATGAAAAAAGAACTTGGTTGTTGTTGATAGATAGAGGTCTTCGTGCTGCCACTTTTTATGAGGAAGATGCTTGTTCTGGTTTTAGCACCTCAGAAAACATGTCTTCTTTGGGTGCTAATAGCTACTGCTAGAATACAAAGTTTGTATGTAGAGTTCCTCCAAGTAACCTGGAAATTAAAAGGCTGTGCATATTCAGAGCTCTCTTTGCTTATTTTTTTTTAGTGGTGTTTTTTTTCCCTTAAACTTTGTGAAGACAACCAGCTGATTGACTTAGGGTGAAAGTTTTGGACCGAAGTAACATTAGAATATGCAAAGTGCAGCATACAGGTCGAAAATGTAATGAGCATGTAAAGTCCTTTTAAAATTCAGTGGTAGAAAAGTATGAGAATGTAAACTGAATAGGTAATTAGAAAACTCTGAAGGTCAAGAATCAGTGACAAGTTTAGCAGAACTGTAATGCTGATGCAACAGGAGTTCATTCAGTTTTAACACATAAACTGAGAGCTAATTAGAATTCCATCCCATGCTTATTCTGTATTACTGTTTTTACTTTTGGCATTGATGAATGCAGATGCCAGTCAATTTGAAATAGGTATCTTAGTGACTAACTTACTGGTATTCCTAAGTTTTCAGGTACACAGCAATTTTTTTTTTAATCTGCATGCTGGGAAAAGTTATGATAACTTCTGAAGGGTTTGACACCTTTTAAGCTGAAGTGGAAGTCATAGTTTAAGGAAGAGGTTCTAAATTTTTGGGGTCACATTTGAAGATGACATAAAATGAGTGGCATTTGGAGCACTTCTCATACAATTGCCCGTGGTGTCACTGACCTGAGTTTGGTCCAAAATGGAAGTGGGAGGTAGCATATCTTCTTGGTACTATTTTGCACGTAATTAAAAACAAGACAAGACATGTATTTGGGGTAAGCTTAGTACTCATAAATGCAAATGATTAATAACATACTCCTGACCTTTTGCAGGCAGCGTATAGCAGACATAGGGTAAGTGATGGTCCCAAACATGCTGACTTGAAGGGGGCTGTTGGGAGCAGCTGTTCTGGTATGATATTATAACCACAAAGCTAGTGTTAAGGCTGGGGTAACCACTGTGGGCAGTTGGTTTGAAGGGAGAATTCTGCTGTTCTCCAGTTCCTGCAGATTTACACCTTTGGATTTTGTATGCGGTGTGGTTAGTATGTGCAGGTCTCAGAGTATAAACACCAAATTCAATTACTGAATTTTTTGGGACAGACTAGTTGCATAGGAGAATATTGCTTTTAGTTTTATAGTATTACTGACACTGTTCTCTGAAGAGTAATTATTGCAACAATTTTTTCCAAGGAAAAATGCATGTGAACATTCAAAACTGGCAGATAGGCTTCAAAATGTTGATCAGGGCTGAATACAAATGTACTGATTTCTGAACTTAATTTTTTGTGTTTTCAGTTAAGAGTCACATGAGAGTGCTGTTAAGTGCTAAGGACATTTTCTTTATTTCGAGTAATAGTAAAGGATACTGAACAAGAATAGCTCAGAGACCTTGACTCAGGTCTTAAGTTATTGTCTGGTTTTAGTTTTGTTATGAAGTCTTTTGGATGCATGGAATGTTGATCTGGCAGTGAAGTGGTGATCATAATCTACCCACACTTGGAGAGGAGTGGACCATGATTTTGTGCATTGTGCTAAATGTATGTCTCACCTGATGTTGAACTGGCTTGAACAAAGAAAAGGATAGGGTATCATTTTTACGAAAAAAGCGTAATAGGAGCTTTAGAGGAAGAGAAGAAATACATTTCCTTCTAGCTTAAAAAAAAGGCAGTGAAAATAATGCACCTAGTTAAGGTGAGAATAGAGATGTTGTTAGGTTTGTCCATTACTAGAAATCTCAGTTTACTTTAGGGAGCTTTTATTTTGCTAAAAGGGAAGATTTCTTTTATTATACAGTTCTCACTAAAGTAACTGTGCATGACTGGATTTTAGTCATTCAGTCTTGACGTACAGGAGTTCTGGTTTGCTTGGCGAGTGCCAGTGCAGGGCTGGTGTGTCACAAGATAGAAGGTGATGAGCTGCTTTGATAGGGGCCTCGTGGATGTTTCAGAAATTGGCCCAAGCTCTCAGAAGTTTGTTGCACACTACTGTCCCTCTTGGCACAGCAAGCTGGTAAACCATGTCAGGTAGGCATGTAATTTAGCAGAAACATAGCTGGTTTCTGTGTGGAGGTCAACTCAGAGTATTTAAGAAGCTTGCTATTGACCCTTTGGAGTTTTTTGGGGGCTGCTTGCTGTAAGCTCATTGCCTGCAAAACTTCCATTGGCTTCTGCAGGAGGTTTATTTAGGAAAGGAGTGTAGGAGTGATGGTGAGAGGAATTTGTCCATGT